AATATTAGTATTAGAATTAGCTAATTTAACTTTAAATAAAATAAAAAATTTTTAATTTTTAATTTTTAAAAAATTTGTATTTTAAAAAATTTTATTATTGATTTTATTTTTATATTTATAATAATTAGATTAATAGACAATTTTTTATTATATAACTACTTATTAATTAATATTTAAAAAAAAATTTTGATATTTTTATAGAATATCAAGACATTAATTAATTTAATAGTTAATTTATTACAATAACAATAAGTATTTAATAATTTAAAAAATGATTAGAAATAATTAAAAATTATAATAATAATATAAATATATATTAAATATTATTATTTACTTTATTGATTAATTTAAATATAATCATTTAATAGTAATAATAGTTTTAATAGCAATGATAGTAATAATGATAATAGTGATAATAGTAGTTGTAGTGATTATGATAATTATAATAGTTATAATAGTTATAGTCATTATATTATACTTATTACTATTAATAAATAACTAATTATACATTAAAATTGCTTATTTAAACTCATTTTTAGATTTAGCAAAATGTTTAAACTTTAATTTCACTAATTTTTTTACTAATATTTTAATATAATTTCACATTTTTATAAGTTTTGATATTATTTTTTCCTAAATTTTATAAATTTTTTAATAAAATTTTAATATATTTTTTACTAAATTTTATCTTTTATCATTTAGATAATTTACAAATCTTCTAGATTTTGTTAAGTAATCTTATTATATAATATTTATTTTAGATCAATCAACAGTTACAATTAATGATATTTTCAACTATACATTATAATAAAAGACTTTAAAATTATCTTAAAAGAATTAAATAGAATAAGAAAAATTATCATCTTAAGATTAATATTAAAATATAAAACTGTAAAGATAAATTTCAAGATTCTTAAAGAATTTCTTATTATACTTGTTAAATAATATCTTTAAAATCTGATTTTCTTGTATAAAAAAAGTAATTAAATAATTAATTGAAAAGGATTGTAAATGTATTTTTTTACTTTAAATTTCTTATGAATTAAATTTTATTGAAAAATATTAAAAAACAACTTATAAGAAATATTACATGAGAAAATTGTGATTATTCATAAAAAGAATTATAAAAGATTATACTAGATTATCTTAAATAATACCTTTAATTATGATTAGAAAATTTACAAGAAAATATTAATATTATATGAATTCTTATAAAAAGTTATTAGTGAAAATTAGCAAAATATATTATTAAGAAATACAAGTTATATAAAAGAATTTCAGATAATATTTTAAAAAAAGAAAATAAATTTAAATAAAATTTTTTTTTGTTTAATGATTACTTTTTAACCAATAAAAATCAATTTATGTGATTAAATTATGTGAAGATCTGCAAAAATAATTTTAAGTATAGATGTTATTATACTATTTTTATCTTTTAATCTTTTATTATTCTTATCTTTTGATTTACTATTACTGTTATTGACTTTTAATTTAGTACTTATATTTATTTTTTTAATTATTTAATTTTTATATTTTATTGAAATTAAAAATTAAATACTTAAATAATTAGCTAATTATTAAAACCAATAATATTTACCTATCTTATTAAATTTTCTTCAGATACTTTATAATCATTGATAGCTTTATTCATTTATTGATTATAAAATATTAAATCTTTAATTTTTAAATAAGATATTAAGTATAAAATCATAGAGTGAAAAAATTTTAATTGAATATAAATTTTACTTAATATAAAGTTTACAAGTTTCTGATTAAATTAAGATATAAGTTATTAAGTCATCATTAGCGTCGATCGTGTCGATCGTATCACCTTGTTTTTTATATAAATAAAATAAAATCTCAACTATTTATGCACAATTAAAGATATGTTGAGGAAAAGATATTGGGAAAATGATCATGGTACGTTGATTAATTTTATACGTGAATAAAATCAAACATAAGTAATTTTTTTTTTTTTTTTTTTCAGAATTGATACCGCCAGTTAGGATTTCTGATGAAACTGATATATGGAAAAGGATTCGATATAGTGAAGAAAGCAATGAAGGTATTTTCCGAAATTCCTTTCTTACATGTGCCAAAAGTTTTTTTTTAATAGATATCGATTTTTTTTTTTAATTTTAAATATTTAATGTACATAAGAAACGCTTTATTCAAACGTTATGGAATATGTGATGACCAATTATGTACATTCGACTTATCGAATTATAATCGATATATTGCTTGAAATAAAATGTTGTGCCCGATGCATATTCAGATTTTTAGGAGTTCGGGATCATAAATGTTATGCAACATCCGAAGAAGTAAAATATCATTTGAATCTAGTTTGTTTTTCTCCCTTTGTTCTTTTTCTCTGATTCATATATAAATCTATTTTTAGGTATTACTTAAACTTTTAAATCGAATTAGATTAAATGAAGACATGGTTTCTTCGGATTATCAAGGAGAGGAACATCCATCAATAAACATTCTTTTATGCAAAACACGAGAAAAACCTATTTGTATAGCATGTTTTGATTTACTTTATCAAGCTGACACGATTGAATGTTTATGGCCGATAATTGAGGGATTTAATTCACATAATTTTCAAGTTAAAACTTTTAACTTGTCGGTTTCGTTACCCTCTGGTATTATTATTAATAATCATTCCATCAAAGTATATATTAGACAAAAATGCGGGTATGTAATTACAATACTTGAAGTTTTCAAAGTAACAAACATCTCTCTAAAAAGATATCTTAATTTATATTAGAGAAAAAAATTTAAGTGTTGATCTTAGTAACGTGTTAGAATTAAAAGATCCTTTTAAACATTTGCTAGGATGGTCCATTGAGAAAGAATTGGGATTAAAATATCATTATCAAAGCCCTTTCAACATTTCTATAGAATATTATCATGAAGAAACACAACAAAATCATTTAATACTTACTCGCATACCTTTATCTGGATTTAAATTAAAAAAAGTTAGAGTTAAACGTAAAGTTATGTGGACAGGACATTCAAGACAGAATATCATCGCGGCTTTAGAGAAAGCCCCAGATTCTGATTTCATAAGGTAAGTTTTACATGAGACGAGAAAAATTATTATTATTTTTTTTTTTTTTTAAAAAAAAAAAAAGGTTTTGATCTTTTTATTTAAGCATTGGAAATTGTCCACCATTGGAAGTTAAAGAAAGATGGAAAAATCATCCACCGATATTAGAGCATTCAGCTATATACGTTGGAGGTAATTATATTAAATTATCGAGAAATGTAAGTCAATCACCTTGGATTATTAATGGGGAGAGGTTAGCTGAGACTTCTGTATCTGAATGTATTGGCGAAATTTTAAGGGAAAAGTTTAAATGTGATGGTAATTTATCGTGCCCTTCTTTTATCTTACTCTTTGTTAAAGCTTGCATTTAATTGTATTATAATAATTTTATGTAGATTATAATTTTGTAGCAGCTGGTAGAGAAGATTCTAATGTTAGAATGTTAGGTAATGGTAGACCATTTTATTTTGAAATAATGAATCCAAGAAGACCTTTTCTTTCCCAGCAAGAATTAGATGTAGCACAGCAGGAAATTAATGACACCAAGAAAGATTTGATTCAAATAAATCAATTGACAATGATTACCGAGTAAGTTTTAATGGTGTTTTTTTTTTTGAAAAAGTATTTGAGATATTTATTCATTTCTTTATAAATAAATACAAAGAAAAGATCTATCTATAATCAAGGAAGGAGAAGAAACCAAGAGAAAAACCTATAGGTATGATAAAAAGAAAGTAATTTAAGAATACTTTTATTGATATTTAATCGTTATGCTTTTTTTAATGAATAGTGCTCTTGTATGGATTTCAAAGATTGTCACTCCCGACATCATTGATAAACTTAACCAATATCAAGATAAGGTATTCACAATAGAGCAACAAACTCCTATTAGAGTTCTTCAAAGGTACTCATTATAAAACTTTTCTTTTTTTTTTTGGTTAATAACTTTCAAACAAATTAAACAAATTAAGTGAAAATTTTAAACTTTAGACGGGCACAAATGGTTCGATCAAAAATAATTTATTCAATGAAGGCAGAACCACTGGAAAATCATTTTTTAACTTTACAGCTTCGAACGGAAGCTGGGACGTATCCTCTTTAGCTTCCAAGATATTTTATTTTGTTTGTATATTTTCACATTTAATTCCTTAACTAATTTTCAGATATATTAAAGAATTTATTCATGGGGATTTAGGTAGGACCAAACCAAATTTAGGAGATTTACTTGACTGTTATGCCGATATTATGGCTTTAGATGTGTTAGAAGTTGATTTAGAATGGCCTCCAAAATAAGATTCATGTGACATTATGCCGATCTTCCAAAATTATATAAATTAAATCCGTCCGCTTTCTAAATTTTATCTCTTGCTTAAATTCCATTAGCAAATACCTTTTTAAATGGTAAAAAATTACCTTCGTTATTTTTCCATTTTTTAGCATTTTCATCATCAAAGATAGCAAAAGAAATATTTTTATATGTTTTAGGTAAATTTTCTTTATCTCCAAAGTATTCTTTACTAATGATTTCATAAAATAATCGAGCCATTGTTGAAGGTGGATTTGAAAATGCCCCACATCCAAATGCACTTAATACAATCGCATCATGACCTATATAAATAACATAGTTAATAAAAAAAAAAATTTTTAGAAATTAACTCAATTCTTACCGTTATCTAATCCGATGTTTAAAATCGTGCGAATTTTTCTTCGAGTTGTTTCTTTGTCTTGTTCATTCAAGGTATATTCATCATTCTCAGTTTCAAGTTTAGGATCACATATGGCAGCAACAGCCTACAAAAAATCAAAACAGAAAAATATATCAATTCTGTTTTCGAATTTTAACAACCTTACATCTCAAAGGAATATATATTTACCACAAAAGACATTTTTTCGGGGTTTTCCAAGAATTCATAATTTTCTTGTTCACTGGCTCTAATAACGGTAGAATTAGGACAATAAATACCACCATATAAAGGAATAGGATACCATTCATGTTTTTTTTGTTCATGATATTGAAATAGATTTGTTCTGCGAAATAAATTTTCTTCCTGGGCAGCGGCACCATAGAGGTAACCACCACCAGGAACTTCAGCATTTGCCATATTTAATACAATAGAGTCGTATCCTTCACGTTTTAATTTGAGTGCATGATTTAAACAATCATCATTTACTACTTGAACGATTGGGTGCGGTTGTTTCTCGGCGATATGAGGACGAGGGATAGAAGTACCGTCTATGTAGGATTTTGATTTGGAGATTTCCGACGAAAGCGAATCAACATTTAATCGTATTTGTTTGTTTGTACCTCTATGAGTATAATTAAGTACATTTTGAAATATTTCTATAGTACTAAGCTGAACTTCCATTCTATTTGAAGCCATTTTTTTTTTTTTTTTTTTAGAAAAATCCGCTAAATTAAAAGTAATTTTTTTTAAATAAAATGATTTGTGACCGGATTTTTTGTTCCAAAAAAAAACAATCAGGATATTTTTCATTAAGTCAAGGATCATCAATTTTTTAAAAGTCAAATTTCACATGCTAAGCAAATTTAATTTAAAGATAATTTTTAAGAGATTGATTTCATCGCAACTCTCTCTATTGTCGTTGTAAAAAAATAAAAAATAAAAAATAAAAATGACATCGTTTAGAGATATCATTAATTCACCAAAAGAACAAGAAGCCGAAAAACAACTTTATATGGAATTTAAAAATTCTACGAATAATCAAGTTTATGATTATGTGTTTAGAAAAATCATCCTGTCATTAAAACGTGGGATCTCAATTGCTACGAGTCCAACCGATTTTTTTTCGTTTAATAGTAGGGAGTTAATGCTTTCTTATTTAAAATCAACATTAAATTCAATGTTTGACTCTGTCTCAGCTGCTGGGACAGACACTTATGAATTTAATATGTTGGAAATTGGATCCGGTTCCGGTGAACCAATCGATTGGTTTTTCGCCAAAGAATTCTCACATCGGAAAGAACTACAGAAAATAGATTATAAGGTCAACATAATTGAACCAAACTCTCGGTTTATTAAATTATATAAAGAAAGAATTAATAAATATCAGCATTTAATTAAATTGGGAATGGCTTATAATGGAAAGGTTCAAGACTATTACGATGAAAATTTGTCCGATGAAGAAAGGTCTCAATTACCTTCCCTCCCTAAAGACAGTTTGGATTTCATTGATTGTATGCACATGATTTACCATTTGCAAGTATCAATTTTTAATTAAACAATTAAAAATTTAAAAATTAAAAAAAAAAAAAGAAAACTAACGAATAATGAAATTTAGGACGGATATTGCTGCGCCACGGGTCGACCCTTACAATGATATAAAGAATCTCGTTAAATTTCTTTATGGGTTATTAAAACCAGGAGGAGCAATTTTTATGGTTTTTATTGATTCATCTGAATCATTTCTAAAAATTAATTCCTCATTTCATAAAGAAGTTCTTAAAAATACGGAAATTTCTTCAAGAATGTCTCAGACAGTGAAAGCACGTCATGAACTTCTCTATGAAAAACAAATTCTTCCTACCTTACAAGAAAGCGAAGATTCGAATAGTTCCTCATCAACGAGTCACAGGACTCGACCTAAAGTTGAAAGTTATAAAATGAATACAACGTATTTTGCTAAAACCTTGGCAGACATGGCTGCATTGGGATCTGCTAGTGAATTATTAACATGTAATGAAGAACCATTTGATATTAGAATTTTGGAATTCGTTTTAGATAAACTTAAAAGTACTGCGTTACAAGATAGCGATGATGCTGTTAAAGAAATTAATTTATGCAGAAGCAAAAGGGATGAAGAAGATGTTTGGATGGTTGAACATCCTCAAATTATATGTGTAATTCATAAAGAAGTCATTTAAGTATTTCAAATGGGCACGCGACAAGAATTTTTTTTTTTTTTATGTTTTGTTGACACGTATATAATATATTAGTTAATCCTTTCTTTCTTTACAATAAATATATCTTTTATCATAAGATCGTAATGCTTATATATATATTTTATAATTAATACCTTGTTTAATTTTAAAGTTACATTTAACAAATTTTTAATTTTTAATTTTATAAAAATGTTCAAATGAAGAAAAAAAAAATTCCTTTGTGAGATCTATTTTGGTAATGGGTTTCAAACAGTTTTTTTAAGAATTAATTTCATTAACTTAAAAATAAAACCGTAAAGACGTGTTTTTTTAAGAAATAAAATTTCATTTCATTTCATTTCATTTTAAAGGAAATAATGTTTTCAATAAAAAAATAAAAAAAAAAAAAATACAATAAACGTCGTTACTTCCGAATATTGTTTGCGTTAAACGTACCTGCAAAAGAAATAAAGAAAGGAAAAAAAAAATGTAAATTGTTATAGTTATATTTTTTGCTCACATAAAAAGCTGAGTATAACTGACCCAATTCATTTAAAAGTCGAAAAATTTCAATCTAACCAAGTTCACCTGGAAAATCAATAATATTGCTATCATTTCCTTTTCCTTGTTGAAGACCATTTCTTGATAATTTTTTTTAACAAGAATTCGTTCCCAAAGAGTTTGTGGAGGTCTTTGAACTGACGAAGATCCTCGTTGTATCCCTTTAGATAATCTAGTTGGTCTTTATCTTGGTTTATTAAATAAATGATGCCAAAACATATATCGATCTTCCAATCGTCGTCATCATTTGTAAAACGTTCATCGTCCAAGGTGACTGGCATAATCAGAGAATTTAAAATACCCATAACTTCAAAAATCCTATCGGGATTATCGTAATAAAATCATTACAAAGACGTGAATTGAAACGAGTGATTAAACTTGGAAGTTTAATAAGTTATCTAAATGGTAAGTAAATCTATATTATACCTCACGAAATTCATTAAAAGATAAAATTATATCAAAATAGTAAAGCTATATTAAATTCTTGGTAAAAAAAGATAGTGAAATTAAAAGTTTAAATATTTTATAAAATTTAAAATAGATTTAGACAAACAATTTTTTTTTACAAGTTATATTTATTAGTTTATTAACAATTAATCTAGTATGATAATATGATAAGAATTATTTTAAAGATATTTATTAATAAAAAATATGATAATAAATAAGAGGAATAAAAGAAAATTATAAGAAATAAAAAAATAAAGAAAAACTTATTAGTATAGAAAAATATATGACCAATTATCTAAATTACTAAAAATTTTAAAACTTTAAGTTTTTATATGTTTATTTATATAAAATAATTTATAAATTACTAGATATTAATAATATTAAATATATCAAATTTGTTAATTATTAAATCTTTCTAATCTATATCTTGTAATTTTATTTATAAATTTAAAATTATTTTTAATAATTATTAATAAATTTTTTATTTATTAAAAAATAGATTAATATTAATAATAAGAAATAATATAAAATTAAAAAATTTTAATAAATAAATTTGATAAGAAACTTTTAAAAACTTATTAAAGCTTTTTTTTTAAATTAGATATATTTTTATATTTAAATTAATAAAAGAAGTTAAAAATATTTATATTATTATATTTTATTAAGATTGTATTATAATTTTTTAAATTAGATAATTTATTATTATACATCTTATATTAAAATTTATAATTTTTCAGATTTATTTTTTAATTATATGGTGCTGGAAGTCTTAACTCGACAATTGTTTCAAATTTTTGGCAACGATCTTTATCACGTGACAAGAAACTGACCAATAAAAATGTTTGATTTTGTGTAACTTTGTGCAACTAACGAGGTTAAATTTAGAACAACGCCACGCGACGTTTTTTTTTCTTAAATGTTAGATTAAAAAGATATTGCCGTGAAGGAGAAAATGATATAAAAGCTAAGTATTTATCTG